TTGGCTTCATCATCTGCACTTGGTTTTGTTGTCTATACTCTGGTGCTGATACTAGAGTTATAATGAAAACTTAAAAACTTAGAAACAAAGATAGTATGATTGGTAATGAATTGAATGTTTTTAGTAAAGCTCTTGGATCTTTAGCCGCGATTGTTGCATTGGTATTTACTATCTGTCAAAAGTCAAAACAATTTTCTTTAGTCACATTTATAAAATTTATTGTCCTTTTCTTATATATTATACCGATTTCGTTAAACGTTACAATTGAGATGGCAAGATATATCTATGCATTTTATATTACTAAAGATGAAAACATTCCCGGCACTATTGTGAGAAATTCGAACATACCAGAAGAATTGGGTAGAGTTAGTTATTTTTTAACTGATAAAACTGGTACATTAACAAAGAATGAAATGGAGATGAAGAAAGTACATCTTGGAACAATTTATTATACACAGAATCTTAACGATGAAATATCAAGAAATATAGCCAAATTTCAGAAGACCAAAGGCAAGTTTTTATGAGAGGAAAGAAAGATTTAAATACAAAGGTTTTGAACTCGTTCATGCACTTTGTGTATGTCACAACATTACACCAGTTGAATCGGACGGTAAACTTACTTACCAAGCATCTAATCCTGATGAAGTGGCCATAGTTATTTGGACTGGACTTGTTGGAATGAAGCTTGTTTATAGAGATCGAAATAGAATAGTTATACTTGATAATATTAATGAGAAACAAGTTTACGAAATCATTCATATATTTTCTTTTACTAGTGAAACAAAAAAGAATGGGTATATTATTAAAGTATAATGGAGAAATACTTTTCTTTATGAAAGGTGCAGATGTAGTCATGAATATAATAATTAAAACTAATGATTAGGTGGAAGAAGAAACCAAAAATATGGCTAGAGATGGTCTTAGAACCCTTTTTATAGCAAGGAAGACACTTTCACAAGAAGATTTTGATACATTTGAAAAGATTTATAATGATGCAAAATTAAATCTTGATAATCGTATTGAGGCTATAGCTGATGTAATGGCTTCTATTGAAAAGGATATGAATGTTTTGAGGTTGATGATAAATTACAAGACAATGTTAAAATGACATTAGAAAATTTAAGGAATGGTGGAATCACAGTGTGGATGCTTACTGGTGATAAAATAGAGACGGCCATCTCGATAGCAATATTATCTAGGATATTTTCAAAAAGTACCTCATATATTATATTAGCTAATATAGATTCTATAAAAGGTTTAGGTTCCAAACTTAGAAAGATCGAGGCAGCTGACTATGACTTTCTTATTGTAGATGGAAGTACTCTTACTCTGATTATGAACAATTGTTTTGACAAATTTATTGATATAATATAACTAGATTCAATTGTAGGATGTAGATTTTCTCCTACTCAAAAAGCCTTGGTAGCCAGAGTTCGAAGAAAAAGAACAAATAAAATAATATGTTGTATTGGAGATGGAGGAAATGATGTATCAATGATAACAGATGCGAATATTGGCGTAGGTATAGTTGGAAAAGAAGGCAACCAAGCATCTTTGACATGTTATAGTATTAATAAATTCTGTTATGTATCCGACTTATTTTTCTAGCATGGTAGAAATTCATACATGAATAGTGTTAAGATAACACATTTAATTATACACAGAAGTACAATTTTGCCTGTTCTTCAAGGTTTGTTGTGTTCAATCATTTACTTCATACCTTTTAGCCTATATAATGGTAGTATTTTAATAGCATTTGTGACAGTATATACTTTCTTCCCAATTTTCTCATTGGTTACAACCAGTGACATATCTCGTGATGTATGTAATAGATTTCCTGAACTTTACAAAGAGCTTGTCTCCAAAGATCAACTTTCTCTCAGAGAGTTTGCTACGTGGAACTTCATATCGTTTTATCAAGGTGTTATTATTCTCACTACTTTCTTCTTCTTAAAGCAAGAAATGTTCTCAATATCTACTTTAACATTCAGTTCGAATAATCACTAATAATTAATGAAATTTTTATAGTAATGTTAACAGCAAATAGAGTTAATCGAACAGTTGTATTGGGTTATATTTTTTCACTGTTCCTTTATATCATGCGTACAGTACAGTCGGTGATACGGGGTCGTGCATTCGGGCAGTCAGCGAATCGGACACTCTCTCGAGTTCACACGGAGTCGTTCGAATCGTTCATCCGCGGCATAAATTCGCTAACGAGCGAACTCAATCGCGGATCGAAAAAGCTCGACTCGCTTCGTACACATTTTTGGTCCTTCGAGCCGGATCCTCGACACATTCTGGTCCCTCGAGCCAGNTGATACCTCGAGCCAGATCACGAGGCATTCCGTAGAATCCTCATCCGCGGCATAAATTCGCTAACGAGCGAACGCAATCGCGGGTCGAAAAAGCTCGACTCGCTTCGCACACACATTTTGGTCCTTCGAGCCGGATCCGCGACACATTCTGGTCCCTCGAGCCGGATAAGTGCGA